CAAAACACAGTGTTTTGCGACATTCCTACCTTTTCGTGCATCTGCATCTCCTGTCTTCTTACTCTTTCTCTTCTACTCTTCTTTCTTCTAATCTTTCTCTTCTCTCTGCCTCTTCCCTGCTCTGCTTTTCATCTCTCCATATTGTCGGAAGTTTGACTTCTAAACTTCCTTCGATAACATACTAGTATTTATTTGCCTGGCACAGTGAACAAAACAAAAAATGCAATGATCACCCCATGTGTATAGTCATTTATAATTGGTAAAGGGCTTTAAGTGTATCATCCCAAATTGATGAGACTTCGAGTTCAGAGTAGGCATCATGAGACTTGTGTCATTCATAAACTTATAGATTTTAATTATCATTCACATTGTTTGCTCTTCCAATATTTCATGATAAGATTGTAGCTTAATTACCCATAGGATCCATGTATGCCATATATGGTAACATTTACCATCAATATACCCCAAATGTTAGTATATATACCATACATGGATCCTATGGGTTATAGGTCAGACATCCCTGGGCCTGTCCTCTTACCCGACGTGACAAGGGTCGATTCAGTCGGATCATCGGATGGTGGTCCCGTCTCCGAGCACGGGCCGTGCGCTCACTTCGCGGTTTCCGTCCGACAGATGACGGTCAACGTGACAACGTGAGGACTTGCCCATTCTTCGTGGCGATAGCCTCACGTTAGGATATATATAGAACGGCGCGATTTACCTAGATTTGTAGCTGTTGAGCGAGCGTGTGCGAGGCCTTCGCAAACTGCACAACGAAGGATTGGTGCGAAACATGCTTCTGGCAGCGGGCGCGATGGCCGGTCGCCCCATGTCCCACCTTCAATCCTTTGCTGAGGAAGTCATGTCAAACAAAAGACGCATCGGAGTTCTCAAAGCCATCCAAAAGTTCAAACAGGTTTGATCCCCGTTTGTGATTTACAATGATTCGATGGTCCCATGCTTCGACATTGCCAAGCGTGCTGGCCCCAAAAAATGCTTCTTGGCATACCTAAAACCGCAAAAGTACACATGAACATGGGTCTTTAAGCCCATATGTCATGCTGGTATCATCGTACCCAAGTCACCATGGGTTTCAATACAGAATGCTTTAAGGACTTGGATGATTTGGGGTGGCCCTATTTTAGGACCGGACCCCCCCTGCCAGGTGGTGCTCAAATTCTATGGGTTTGGCCACTTGGGATTCGGGGAAATCGTGCCCAAAAGGCCGAATCAATTTGGTTTTAGACATGTTCTAGATTTCCCAGGTATTATCTCCATTTTATCACATGAATTCATTATATCCCGTTTATTCCCAAAATTAACGATAGATAATTTTATATTATGTTATATTATATAATAGTATAATATATTATAATACGTTTTACTATATATAATATAATATAATATTGTGTTTATTGTAATAGATTATTCTATATTATAGCATTTTATAATATTTTTGTATTATATTACCTTATAGTATGTTGCGTTTTTTTAAATTATATTATTATATATTATATTATTATATGTGTATCATTTTATAATACAATATCTTATATTATATTATATTTTATATTAGGTTATAGTATTTATTATATCATAGTATTTTTCTCGTTTTAAATTATATTATACAATGTTATTCTATGTGTCCAATGATTCCAGTACATCTTTTATATATGCTTATGAGTTTTCCAGTTATTGTATATTGTTGATCATATATCCATTATTGCACTTATCATCACATCACATTGTTGTAAATTCCATTACTATTATTATTATCCCATTATTACTTCATTATGATATCATATAATTATTTAATATTATATACATATATATATACACATACAGTATTTATTGCACATCGTTTTTTTCTACCAACTCATGTGTTTTTTCGTCCTCATCCTCTCCCTAGCTATCTCCAGGTGCAACGATGGCAGGAGAGCCCTTCGCGCCTTCAGAGGACATGAGGCGCACCAAAATTCACAAATCAGGGGCATAACGGCATAACATTACAATAAATGGGATTATTTATGGAATTTTACTAACATCAATGGATTATTTATGGAATTTTACTAGCATCAATGGATTATTTATGGAATTAAACTAACATCAATGGTGATGAATGGCAAATGCTCATGAGATTTAATGGGATATTTCTTCATGAGATCTACTGGGATGATCATGGAATAGATTTTGCAGCAAACCATGTTTGATTACCAGAGGGTCAATGAGTTTAGGTGACAAGAAATTGATCGATCCTATCTCAAACACATGCTGATTATCATAAATTGAAATATATACTCATGAAATCTAGAGATTATGCCACTTATACCATGGTTACCCGCTGGTAATTTAACTGCTTGCGAACTTGAAAATGACCATAGAAATAGTGGATTTACCCATTGAAAATACTGGATTTTCCATAGTTATGTAAACGTTTACCAGAGGGTAAACCTTCACTTTCCTATGGTTTTCTTATGGTTTTCCCATTAAAACCTGCATTTTCCCATGGTTTTCCTATGGTTTTCCCATTAAAACCTCCATTTTCCCATGGTTTTCCTATGGTTTTCCCATTAAGACCTCCATTTCCCTATGGTTTTCCCATGGTTTTCCCATTAAAACTTCCATTTTCCTATGGTTTTCCTATGGTTTTCCCATTAAAACTTTCATGTTCCTATGGTTTTCCCATGGTTTTCCCATTAAAACTTTCATTTTCCTATGGTTTTCCTATGGTTTTCCCATTAAAACATCCATTTCCCTATGGTTTTCCTATTAAAACCTCCAATTTCCCTATGGTTTTCCTATGGTTTTCCCATTAAAACCTCCATTTTCCCATAGTCTTCCTATGGTTTTCCCATTAAGACATCCATTTCCCTATGGTTTTCCTATGGTTTTTGGATGAAGCCATGGTGTCCTTCCCTAGGTACGAACGTGTGGAGCTCATCGCCACGAACCGAGACGACAGCGACTGCCTGATTTCCAGCAGCTTCCAGAGGCGAGGACACGGTCATAACAAAAAGGAAGTAGTTGTAATCTGTAGTAGTAATATGGATGGGAATGGGATGTTGACCAGTAGGATGATGATCAGTAGGATCAATAGATATCAATAGTAGTACTTGGTGGCTCATCTAGAGAGCCCTCCGTGGGGATGTGACATCAGTGTCTGTAAAGTACAGATTTTCCACAGAGTTTTATGTGTAGTAGTACCCTCTCGTAAATTAACAGTTCGACCCTGAAAATAGGCTAGTTTTAATGGAAACTAATCTTCCAACCCCTATCTGCCAGGCTCTATGTTAATTTACCGGAGGGTAATATGTAGTAGTATTAAGTGAATAATCACAAAATAATATCTATATATGAACATATGGGAACATATGGGATGAACTCTAATACATAGATGTAATATGTAATACATAGTAGTAGTATTAATGGTTGGTGGTTTCAAACATGTTTTTATTTTCCATCATATATGGGATAATCCTTCCCAATGACATAGCAATGGAATGTTTCAGAACGGATTACCATTTGGTTAGTTAACATAGTAATATGTAGTCTGGTTGGTTGATGATTATAGTGGTTAAAATATGTTAAAATCAGATTTTAACCATGAAAATATGGTTTTAATGGGATTTAAAAAGATACCCCAACTGGTTGGTGGTTTGGATCATTTTTTATTTTTTCCATATATTGGATTATACTGGGAGTAACCACCCCAACTGACTCATATTTTTCAGAGGGGTTCAAACCACCAACCAGATCATATTGTTAGTTGTGTATCCCATAATATCACCAATGTTGGTTTAAATATGTCGCAATCATGAACATCTCTGTAGCTTCGATCTCAGTGTTCCCATGTTCCGTTCCATATTTTCACATGGTCAGTTGTTTCCGGCACTTTCCATTTTCAGACCCACATCATGTTAATTAAGTTGGTTGCATATCCCATTCATACCCATTAAATACCCAGTAAATACCCATTAAACAGTACCAATTATATTATATACCCTTTATAAATAGCCTTTCACATCCCATCAGAATCCGCTTGAAACACCAAGAAACGTCGGAATTTCATGGACCTAACTGTCGCTCTGTGTTCCATTATCAATGCCCTACATCTTCTTAACATGCCATTTGTTGGATCAACCTGTCGCCCTTGGTTGGGTGCGTAGGCATTGAATTTGGATGGATTTGGTCATGTGTTTCATTTCTTCAATTTACTTTAGTTTATAGAAGTCCCAAACACGATAGTCGATTTTTTCCAGGCTGCTATAGATGAATATGTGCTTCCAGGTTTCTTTAATTGTTCTCTCAATGTTGGGGCTACAGTTTGATGTTTAGACACTGACATCTCCATCGCCCTTTCCTACCCCAGGGTGGTTGGGGTATGATTCGCCATGAATAACGGGTGATCTCCTCATGGAATCTGAAAAAAAACCCGAGGGAACCCTGGTTGGACGTGCAACTGAACGCTGCCATGATCGAAGCTGGCGCTTCATTGTGACCCAGATCGAATGGGATGGGATTCGGGATGGGATGGCTAAATCCCCATAGGTTTTGGGGGATTTAACCATCACATAGATGTGGTGCAACCAACAGATATCTGGGAATATGATGTGGATATAACTTGATAGAAAATTGATACCCTCTGGTAGTGACTAAGAGTTTGCGAATTTGAACATGGCGATTGAAATTGTGCATGGTTTTCCCATTAATAGCATGGTGTTTTTCCATATATAGTCTATAGTTATGTAAATGTTTACCGGAGGGTGCCCATATGCCTACCCATATCTGGGTAAATTATAACGCCCGAACCCTGTTCTCCCGAGCCCTGGAATCATTGTTTTTATAGGGGAATCATTCCCTTTTATGGCCGCAAGATTCAGGTGAGTGAAATATGATAATTTACCCAGCCATATGCAACCCATGGTGCTGGAATATTCAGGAAAACATTTACCCCAAACATCATCCAGTGTAGGTCAATATACCAGCACCATGGAGCATCTGGAGTATATTTTCCAATATTCAATGCAATGTTGAGTCGATGTGTGTTTAACGTGTCAAGATAATTTCGATGTTCTTGGATAATTAAATTGTTGTTTGCTTGACATTATACTTTTCAAATATTGGAAACCCATCCTTATCACCAAAATGTTGTTTTAGATTCTAAAAAATGAATGGGAAGTTATGATAGTCAAACCGGGCGATGGACACTGCGAAACTCATCGCACGAAATTGGGGATCTTCCAGCCATGGAGCTGAGTACCCTAGGGTACTGATGATCCTTGATGACTGTCCAGTTCTGACATGTAAAAGGAATATGTATGAATATGTTCTATTGCCAGATTTAACCAATAAAATGAGGAATTTCATGGAATTTTAAGCTTATCTTGGTATGATTGAATTGTACAAGATGGTATAGTGTTAAATAAGTTAGATATTACCCTTTGGTAAACGTGTACATGACTATGGAAAATCACCATGCTATTAATATACAGAAATCAAGTATTTCTATGTGCCATGTTCAATAGCAAACTGTTAAAATACCGGTATGTTCTATTGCCAGATTTGATTCCCGGAGAGAATGCCACTCTATGAAATCGCGGGAAGGCAACACAATTAGAACGCATGTCCAGTCTGTTGGTGCACGGGAAATATGCAGGGATGCAATCCTTTAAACGTGTTCATTTTAATACCAAAGGCCTGCAGGGAGAATATGATCAGCATTGTCTTCGCTGTGTTTGGGTGTGGTTATCCCCATTGCTCCTTGTTTATTGGTAGCCAAGGTCACTCTCAGTGGTCAATATTACTCGTATTTGGCTAGTCACATTCCATCACAATCCTATCTTTCTTGGTGCATCCTCATGTTTCTTCATTTTTTACCCTCTGGTCCTTTTAACGGAACCATGGAAAAGCAGCATGTTAAAATTTGGTAGTTCATTGAAGTTTTCATGGGCCATGGTCTCCATATAGTAAACTGTTAGTCCCATGAAATCACCATTTTGTGTCAGTTAAATCTCTTGAAATCGCATTGAATCCCATTAATTCACTATGAAATCCCAAAATAGCATCTTCAAATCCCAGGTTTTTTTTGTTGTTTTTGCTATGTCTTGTGAGCCCTTGCTTCCCACTCCTGCGCCGTCGCCTAGGCGAATTCCCATTGTCTTCTCTCCAAGAGAGGCGTCGGATGGGTCATCACCTGGGTAAACTGACAGTTCGCCATGGAAAATCACCATTTATAATAGGTAAATCAACTATAAATGGCCATTTTCCATAGCAAACTGTTAAATTACCAGAGGGTAATGGGAATCTAATGTATTTAATGAAAGTTTAATCAGAGTATAAATGGGCCAAATGTTCAACAAACTGTAAAATGACCAGAGACGGAACCCAGGATGGGAATTGGATTATCATTTCTTTGCGGAAGAAGCAGGGTTGCTCCAGCCCACCATCAATGATAGCCATTATGAGGGGGGAAATTCGCCCTTTGGCGGTGTTGGGAGAAAGCCTAAATAATATACGATCTACAGTCACATACAGCTTGGTGGTTTGGAACATGACATGTTTTGGTTGGTGTTGTCTACTTAACATAGTCTCAACATGGGTTTTAGATGGGGGCACTGAAGAACTGAGTTGGTTTATGAATCCAACTTCCAACTGAAGAGATATCGAACATCGTTCCCCAACGTTGCCGATCACCGTTGACCAAGCACAGGCTCCAAAAAGCTGGGATTCCATCCTCATCACAACAGGGATGGCCCAAGGTGAATGTAGTCGGATATTCTACTGGAACCAGTGGATGGGTGACTCAGATGAGTCAACCTTTCTATTAAATTTAGCTTTGTAGACAGTCGAGTTTATATGCATTTAGCAAGATGTCTCAGCCGAAAATTGAATTGTTTACAGGGTGTCTAGAAGGGGCTGAAACCTTTCAAGGTGCGAAACTTTCGGGAAACTTGAGAGCTCGCTGAGCAGAAGGTGGGGATTGCCACGGCAAGTGCCCAACATTATGACGGCGAGGTCCAGCACTAGCCCAGCAAGTTCTAGGCCTTTAAGCAGGAAAGAACGACCGAGCGGAAAGAAGAACGTCAGGCGGCTGACATAAGGCTGATTTGGAGGTTTCCGAGGTCATGCAAATTACTGTACCCCCAAATCATCCAAAATCAGACCATTTTACAGTACTTGTAGTATAGTTGTTTGGGATCCACCATTCTTTTAAGAGACCCCCAGTTAAGAAACTGTCCAAAAGACATCAGATTATACAGTAATATAATTAGAGTATAGATCCCACATGACTCCACAATGATTACTGGTTGGGCCGTTCTGCGGCATAGGTGTGTGAGTACATGCAGCGGATCGAGTTCATTGTCAACGACTACACACGGATGCCGGGGCACCGAAAGTAGCGGAATGGGCGACCAGTGGGACGACAATTTCTGGTCTGTTTCTGGTAGGATCATTATGGATCTTGGTTGGGTAACTATTGTATCTAATTATATGATATATTAAATTATGATATCATATCAGTTTGTATATCATATTGTATCTATTTAAATCTATTTGATATTGAATTAATATTGTATCTATTGATATCACTCACGGTTTGTATGCATCTGGAATCTGGATACTTTTAACCTTAAGGTTATGTGTGGAAGTCTCCAAAGTACTTATCATCCAATTTTTAGTCTTCGAAGGGTTCCCTCCCATCTGCGCAAGAGTCAGGAAATCCGCGATAGTAGCCTACTTTCTAACTTTCTAACTGGTCACCTGTTTTGTTGCATGCACAATCCCCATTACTTCAGCAGCCACTGGGTAGGCAAATTAGTGTAAAAATTGGAACTAGATAAGTAGATAATTAGTGTAAAAACAGGACCTATCCTAGAATGACTATATCTACAGTTGGATGGGTTTGTAAATCAACTTGTAACTTACTAATGACCCATGTGCCGCTGTTGTTCGTGGCCTTTCCCAAGTGACTGCTCAACTTCTTGGCCACGCTACGATTTGTGGGGGCCACCATGATAAATATTGGGGCCCAGAACCTAAGCGAACGGGTTATATTGAAGGTATATTGAAGGTATATCTACCCGCCAAATGCCAAATCCATCTGTATTGGTTGGCCGTATGTATCCCCCAGAAATCACAATGTGGGTATGGGTCAATACCTATAGATACATTTTTAGTGGGATGAACATCCATTTACCAGCTATTTTGGGGTTCACTAGGTACCAGGGTTTTGACCCATCCCCATGCCCATGTACATGAAATAAATCTCCGACTTGTCTACATCAGACAGGGATCATGACTGTAAGGCTGTACACGGGTCGTTGTATCGGAGGCTGTTCAACAAATGGCTGAGCCCCACATGTTTTTGGCTCACGACCTGGGGGCACTCATAAGAGATCAGCTGCCTAGATTCCACATGATTCCACCACAGTTTGTACAGGAGTGATTCTGAGATAGAAACATGTAGTCAACAGGGAAAATTGATGGTGGCACCCTGGGTATTTTTGAGCTAAAATAGTTTTGGATCATCGTTTCACCATGGAAATGACCTGGAAATGATGATTTCTCCATGTATATCATGGCACCCTCGAAGGAACACCTGCAAGAATATGAGGTTCAGAAGCCCCCGCAACAATAGCGGGGGGTGCCTTTGGGTGTGGGTACCCTTTAGATTTGCATGATCGTGATGGATTGTAGCATATTGTATCATATTGATTCATACTTATATACGATGAACTATTCAGTGTTTTTAGGGCTGGATATGGTCGGACGGATTTATCAATATTTACCGCATAAGCCGCAAAGAAAGGTTTATTCAACATGTTGTTTACCATGTTATGGAGGCTGATTTACCAATATGATCCAATACCCATATGCTCCATGTATGGTATATTTACCTATATACATGACTGGGTGATTTTGTTCGGGCAAATGTTGGTGTGCATATTCCAGCACCATGGTTCGCATATGGGATACCATTTACCAACATATTCACCACATAAAAACCCTGAGGCACGTGGACGTCCGTGGCCGTGGCTGCCCCCTGAAGCTGGAACTCACGGCAATTTGGCGAAAGTGAAATTTGGAGGTGGTGCTGGATGATGCTGGATGGATCATGAGGGATGGTAAGATGATTTAAGATATGCTACAGGAAAATGGAGGTTTTAATTAATATGTTTTAATAGGAAAACCATAGGAAAACCATAGGAAAACCATAGGAAAATGAAGGTTTACCCTTTGGTTATGACTAACAGTTTGCCATGAAAAATCCACCCATTTTTAAGAATGGTAAACCATCTATTTCTATGGGCCATCTATACCATGGCTATGTTAGTCATAACCAGATGGTACAACAACTTGCAGTTCGTTCCAAACTAGTCTAATGGATTGGAGCGCTGTCCGAGCTATTGAAAAACGTGCGGCTATAGCTGTTTCGGTAGGGTGATCCCATGTAACGACCGAGCCTAAATATTTCACACTGGTTGTGATTGGGACAGGTTGACCGTTGGCGAAGTTCATGGCTGCATCAGATTGGGGGTCGCTTACAAGAAGTTCGCTCTTAGCAAAATTAAGGGACATGCCATACTTACTAGCTTCTTGTTCTAAAGCTTGTAGCATACTTTCAAGTTGTGGGGTGGAAATACCGAAGATAAGCGTATCATCTGCGTATTCAACATCGAAGACTGGTTTACCAATGGACCAGGTGTTGGTTGGGGTACCCTGCTGAATGAGTCTTAACTCAGTGTCTTCCAAAATAAGAGAAAGAATCAAAATAAACAGATATGGACTAAGAGGGCAACCTTGGCGTAGTGGTCAAGTGTGTCAAAGCTTGTTCCAATCTAAGAATAGCATGTGCATGGGTTTACTCAGTGCCCTCGACCAGTCTTGAATCCGTCTGACCAGGAATAGTGCGTGACGTGTACCGCGTGCAGAACGGAATCCATATTGGGTAGGACGAATATATGAGTCTAGTTCGCTTGCTAATCTATGTTGGAGAATGGTAGCGTATACTTTGTACAAGACGGGTAGCAGGGAAATGGGGCGGTAGGAGGCAGGATCTTGATCATTACCTTTACCCTTATAATGTGGGATACAGATTAGTGTAGGGGGGACCCCCCCCCTCCCCCGAGAGATGGACTGTTAGGAACTATGCGACAAAAGGCCTTTAACAGAAATGATCTGGAGAGAGAGAAGAAACATTCATCCTCAGGTTATAGTTCATCTTCATTCATAACTTGCTGCTACGCTTTGGCTCTTCACTTGTACTTAAGCACACGCTTGCTTCTCTGGATAAAGCTTTCGCAGTAGCATTTGACAACATGTTTCGTGCTAGTGTATAAGCTTGTCCACTGCATTTGCAAAAGCCCTTCAAACAAAATTATCAAGACACATCAGGCAACCACATTAGATAACCACAAGAACAAGAACAACAGCAAGAAAAAAGAACAAGAAGAGAACACAAACATAAAAAGACCCACGACAAGAAGAAACAGGGGAACAAGAAGAAAAGGGACAAGAAGAACAAGATGAAGAACAACAACAGCAGGAGCGCAGCAGGGAGAGGCGACAACAACAACAACCACAACCACAACCACAACCTCCAAAACAACTTCCAAAACAACAGCAGCAGCAGCAACAGCAACAGCAGCAGCAGCAGCAACAAGAACATTAATTAATCAATAGTAGCCAACAATACACCAGCTGAAACCACGATATTGGCATCTTAAAAACTGATTTTGGATAGCCTGATCACACCTGCTTCCGAGATCGCAGTAAGGCAAGATCACATCTTGACGCAAGGTTTTCCTCAACGCTACAAAACATCATTTAAATCGAAAACCCTGTTTCACAAGAAGCACAACCCCGCCAACTTCAACTTGAACACAAACTGCCGCTGGCTTCTACGGCATAAACTTTTCCCCCCACATTTCCCCAAACGCTTCTCTGCGCACTATAGACTTCCATTTGCATTTGCACAAGCACTGAGTTTGTTAATGTGAATTTACTTCGAAGCCTTAAATCAAAGTTCGAACCTATCTGATTTGAAGTTGGACCATGCTTAACGTCAATTAGCGTTTCAGGCAATCAAGGTTTCAATGTACCAAAGCAGAAACAAAGGAGATGATGTCGGAGATGATGTCGGAGATGATGTCGGAGATGTTGATGACAATGTGGGTGATGTAGGTGGTGTCATTTGTGGATGAGGATCATGATGATGATCATAACCTTGAATCATGATGACGATGATGGCAAATTGTGATGATGTTGTTGTTGATGATGATGATGGTGATGATGATGGCAGTGGTGATGATGATGATGATGGCAGTGGTGATGATGATGATGATGATGACAGTGATGATGACAGTGATGATGATGATGATGATGATGCTGTACCCCGCCAACCCCGCCAACCCCGCGAACCCCGCGAACCCAGCGTGCTTCTCTGTATACGTATGCATACGTATGAATGCATGCCTGTATGGGTTTTTCTATGTCTGTATCTATGCATGTATGCATTTAGTGAGTATGTAATTATGTATGATTGTGTATGTTATGTTATGTTTTGTTATGTAATCTAACGTAACGAAAAGTAAGGTAATGTAATGTTATGTATGTATGTATGTATGTCTATACATACACATGTATTTTAATCCATGTATGATAAGCATTTATAAACATAATACTTAGACTTATGCATGCATGTTTCATTAATAGACTGCTCTATTTCTTCACAAGCGAAGCCGTCACATAGAACGGAACAGTCCAAACCACCCCCCTCCCCCCCTTAACAAATTTTGGATACAGAATAGTGTGGAAAAAACAAGGTATCGGGTACGCAATAGTGTGGAATTAAAAAAAAATGATAGATTTCAATTGATTTCAATCGATTTCAATTTATTTTCAATTTATTTCAAATTACTTTGAATTGATTTCAATTTGATTTCAATTTGATTTCAATTGATTTCAATTTACTTTCAATTGATTTCAATTTACTTTGAATTGATTTCAATTTACTTTCAATTGATTTCAATTTATTTTGAATTGATTTCAAGTTATTTTGAATTGATTTCAATTTACTTTCAGTTGATTTCAATTTACTTTCAATTGATTTCAATCTACTTTAAATTGATTTCAATTTACTTTCAATTGATGTCAATTTACTTTGAATTGATGGCAATTGATTTCAATTTACTTTGAATTGATTTCAATTTACTTTGAATTGATTTCAATTTATTTTGAATTGATTTCAATTTATTTTGAATTGATTTCAATTTACTTTCAGTTGATTTCAATTTACTTTCAACTGGTTTCAATCTACTTTAAATTGATTTCAATTTACTTTGAATTGATTTCAATTTACTTTGCATTGATTTCAATTTACTTTGAATTGATTTCAATTTATTTTGAATTGATGTCAATTAACTTTGAATTGATTGCAATTGATTTCAATTTACTTTCAATTGATTTCAATTTACTTTGAATTGATTTCAATTTACTTTCAGTTTACTTTCAATTGATTTCAATTTACTGTCAATTTACTTTCAATCAACATCCCATAGAAATCCAATAGTAGTCCCAAAGAAATATCATAGAAATGCCATGGAAATCCCATAGGAATCCCACAGAAATCCCATAGAAAGATCATAGAAATAACATGGAATAGCATAGGAACCACAAAGAAATCCCATGATAATTCCAATAATAATCCCATAGAAATATCATAGAAACATCATGGAAATCCCATAGGAATTCCATAGAAATTTAATAGTAATACCATAGAAATACCATAAAAAAAGTTTTAGCAAAGGAAAAAGAAAAAGGGAATGTTTGAAAAAAAAATCACCCCAGGAAGCATCTGGACACAATAGTGTACCCTCCAAACAAACCACACTATTGTGGATCAGGGTTGCTCATGGACTACCCCCTTGAAAAATTGTTTGAGTGATGTTTTTTTTAATTGGGTTTTAATAAGGTGTCATATATTTTGGGAAAAGAATTTCAAATGAAAGAAACTATTTAAGAAAGTTTAGGAAGTAAAAGAAAAACTTTAGCAAAGGAAAAGGTAAAGGAAATGATTGCAAAAAAAGAATCACCTCAGGAAGCATCTGGACACAATAGTGTACCCCCAGACAAACCACACTATTGTGTATCAGGGTTGCTCATGGACTACCCCTTTGAAAAATTGTTTGAGTGATGTTTTTTAATTGGGTTTTAATAAGGCATCATATATGTTGGGAAATTGGGCACTTCTGAGAATTTCAAATGAAAGAAGCTAAGAAAATAATCAGTTAATTAAAAGGAAAAAACTTTAGAAAAGGAAAAGGTAAAGGCAATGATTGCAAAAAAAAACTCACCAGGAAGAATCTGGACACAATAGTGTACCCCCAAACAAACCACACTATTGTGGATCAGGGTTGCTCATGGGCTACCCCCTTGAAAAAAATGTTTGAGTGATGTTTTTTTTTAATTGGGTTTTAATAAGGCATCATATATTTTGGGAAATTGGGCATCTCTGGGAATTTCAAATGAAAGAAGCTAAGAAAATAATCAATTAATTAAATGGAAAAAAACTTTAGCAAAGGAAAAGGTAAAGGAAATGATTGCAAAAAAAGAATCATCCCAGGAAGCATCTGGACACAATAGTGTACCCCCAAACAAACCACACTATTGTGGATCAGGGTTGCTCATGGACTACCCCCTTGAAAAATTGTTTGAGTGATGTTTTTTAATTGGGTTTTAATAAGGCATCATATATTTTGGGAAATTGGGCATTTCTGAGAATTTCAAATGAAAGAAACTAAGAAAGGAATTAATTAAAAGAAAAAAACTTTAGCAAAGGAAAAGGCAAAGGAAATGATTGACAGAATCAAAAAATCATGACCTCAGGAAAGCAGCTGGACACAATAGTGTACCCTCCAAACAAACCACACTATTATGTATCAGGGTTGCTCATGGACTACCCCCTTGAAAAATTGTTTGAGTGATGTCTTTTTTTTTTTATTGGGTTTTAATAAGGCATCATATATTTTGGGAAATTGGGCATTTCTGAGAATTTCAAATGAAAGAAACTAAGAAATGAATTAATTAAAAGAAAAAAACTTTAGCAAAGGAAAAGGCAAAGGAAATGATTGACAGAATCAAAAAATCATGACGTCAGGAAAGCAGCTGGACACAATAGTGTACCCTCCAAACAAACCACACTATTATGTATCAGGGTTGCTCATGGACTACCCCCTTGAAAAATTGTTTGGGTGATGTTTTTTAATTGGGTTTTAACAAGGCATCATATAATTTGGGAAACTGGGCATTTCTGAGAATTTCAAATGAAAGAAACTAAGAAAGTAATTAATTAAAAGAAAAACCTTTAGCTAGCAAAGGAAAAGGTAAAGGAAATGATTAAAAAATCAAAAAAATCATGACCTCAGGAAAGCAGCTGGACACAATAGTGTACCCTCCAAACAAACCACACTATTGTGTACCTGGATTTAATTTTCTGTGGAAGGCATCTGGAAAATTTCAATGATGGAAAATAAAAAGTAAAACAAGAAAGCTTTAAAACATGAAAAAAAATGAAAATTGTTTGAACAAACAGAAACAAGATCAAGACACAATTGTGTATCCTGACACAATGACACAATTGTGTATCCTGACACAATTTAAAAAATGTTAAATTAAAATAATAAATAAAAAAAATAATACAAAAAATATTATAATTAAAAATAAAAATAATTTCAAATAAAATGAAATAATTAAATTAAATTAAAAATTATTATAATTAAAAATAAAATAAAAAAAATAAAATAAAAATTATTTATATTAAAAATAAAAAATATTATAATTAAAAATAAAAAATAAAAACACAATTAAAAACTAAAAAACAAAAGAATGAACAAAAAACTTACACCAAAATCCTGTGAACACAAAACTGTACCCCTCGATCATTTCCAAAGTTACAAAATAATTTTGGAGTCTGTGGACACAATTCTGTATCCCCACACT